ATATAGGTTGTATTTCGGATATAGAAAAAGATAAGACTTTTACTTGTAGAAGTCTTTTAACTATTTGTATTGATCCGAAAGCAAGACTAGTTGAAGCTAGGGAAAGATCGTCACAAAAACGGATTGGTTTACATCTACCCAAAAAAAATATCAATATAAGATAAAGTCAACTAGTAGTGTGACAAATACTACTACTTGTAAGCTGAATCTTGAAGTACAAACTTATCCAACAAGTTTAGCTCACCAACTCTCTTATTCCCTTCTTGGTATGAGAACATATATAACATGTCAGGAAAAAAAGTACAAAAGCACTATTTGATAGGTGCCATACTTACTTTACCGTTCCCTTGTATATAAAAAGATGAGATAAGTTAACAAAGTGTCTACATCAAATTCAAAGATTGAAATGAAGTGTACTAGGATGCATGGATCAACTAATTAGAAGAAGACACACATTAATGTTGGACATTAAGCATTTAATGCAATGATGGCTATAAAAGGTCACTTTTGTCATTCAATGCTACTTACACGTTTTGAAAAAACATCTTTGTGAATGTTTCTTAAACAAAATCAGCATCATCCTCTGAAGAAACTTCCTTAGTTCTTTGGATCTGAAAGGGTAATTCCTTCTCCCACTCTTTCATTTTGAACAAATTTGTCACAGTAAGATTCTTTACGATCGCATGTCTTACCTTCCTAGCTTCTGCAACAAATCTGTAATTATTTTTTTATACAAAATATAGAATCTATATTTAAAAGTGAAAACATGTTGTATTTGTATTCAACCCCCCTTCAACAAACACTTAATGTGTAAGTCATCACTTATAGGACCAACATAACTCATATCCATAAGCTAGTTTGCATTAAACATTGTGGTGGTCTCATATTTTCATAATATTAATTAATCAATAATCCACATCTTTTTACTCATAAGACGTTTGGTAGTTGAACCATATCAACAAATTACTGTCGTAATATCTTTTTGGGTCTTTATCTACATAGAATTGGGTTGGAACTTATTAAGAATGATTGGGATTTGACTCACATCACAAATTCCAAGAAAGTTAAACATTTGGTTAAACATACAATTAGTGTCACAATCAATAACTAAAAAATTGAAGTATTTAATCCTAACCCAACGTAATGTGTTCTTAAATGCAAAGGAACCAAATTGTTCGTGAAACAAGGAGCACATTGTCACAGAGTTGTCTTCACAAGCTCTCGTGTGTTCTTAGTTCTCGGACTAAGTCAGCCGAACTACGAGAACACTGAGTAAAGATGACCAACAAAAATGTTAAGATGATTGGAAGAACTCTATATTACATAAGTTTTGAAAACGTGGTGTGTGATTACAAATGAAAGACTACCATCTATTTATACTACTCTAAGGAACAATTAAGAGATCATATCTAGATATTTACATGGAAGGATCTAATTACACAAGCTCTAACCATGTATGGATCCTTCTAGATATTGCTTGCCTCTTCTTGGTCCTTGCATGGTACTTCTTGATCCTTTCCTAAGGTTCCTCTATTCTCTTGATTTATCCGGAATGTTCCATATTTCCAAAGAACGTGACGTCCTCGGCTCATCCTTGTTGTGCCTTGGGTGGGGATCTTTGTTCTTTTTTTGGTCCCTTAGGGTGCGTTTGATATGCAGACTACATGGGACGGGACGGGACAAAAAAAATAGTCCCATGTTTGGCATGACATGAACAAAAAAAGCATAGGACAAGGTAGGACTATTTTTAATTTTCATGGGAGAAATCTTGATATCTTTTGTTCCACCAAAAAATATGGAACAACATAGGACTGAATTTAAAGTTACAATATTACCCTTGTTATTTCATTCCAATAGAAAACCTAATTCATCCCATTTGTGCAGCTATCGCCTCCATCACCTCTCTTCTTCCATTGCCTGGTATCCTCTTCTTCCGTCGGCCTCCTCGACTTATGTGCACAAGGTAGCTAGCTCATTTGAAATGATGCCTCGAAGGTCTTTAACTTCTTGATGAAACTCCAACTTCAAGATATCAAGAGTGGCCTTGACATCTTCTCGAACTTCTGAGTCTTCCACTTCTAAGACTTCAGATTGTTGTTGGACGTCCTCAAGATTGTGATCAAGATCATCGATCCTTACCTTCAAATCCCTGGTGGACTTCTCCACATCAACGACTCTAGCATTTAGGTTGGCCATCAACTCTTTTGATTGTTCCCGGCTCTTGCTTCAAGTCTAAACTCCTTCATGATGAGTGTTGGTCATATTATGCAACCCCAAAAGGCTACAATAATTGGGAAACCACAAAACTATACATGTTTTCCCAATATCTTCTTACGACAAGTAATAATGATAAGAATACCATATATGGATCCACATGGATAGGAAAGTAAGGATTTTCAACAAGTCAAACTTAAAGTAAGATTTCAAGAGGTAAAATAGAAGCAATAATTTTGAGAGCGTTGGTAACCAAATACAGAAATGTAACAGTAATTAAAGTAGTATGGGTGCAAGATCAGGTTGGAATTTCAAAAAACAAAGCGCAGTGGACTATTGTTGTAGCTTTATGTGAAATTGTCACAACAATAGCTTTCTACAACACTACTGGATTAAATAGTCTTTTGAAGAAGTACAGATTAGACCATATGCTAGCAGTACACATGGTGATTTACAAATCCAAGCTTAGTACAGATCTTGACTTTCTCTCCATATAGTTTTGCAACCCATAAGGTTGCTACAACTCTCTATAGCCTCTATAACATGGTTGATGATGACATTTGCGTTATCTTCATCTCTAAGATCAACTCATACAAGTATAATAACATGTGATCAAAGATTACTAAATGAAATGTTGAGCTCAAAAGTGAATAGTGAAGTGAATTGCTATTGAAAAAGCAACTATTCATGAACACTTAACAATCTTTCAACCTTCATTTACACCCACAAGGGTGTTTAGCCCGACATGGCTGAATTTAAATGCTCAAAGACATAAATGTAAATGACATGAATGTAAAGTGCTGAAAGGTAAACGTGTAGAAATTTTAAGTAAAAACAGTAACAGTTGTTGCAGCAACTGGCAGCAGTGAAGAACAATTGCAAACTACTAAAAGCTTTCAAATAATATTAAAGTACTAAGAACTCAACGTTTGTGAGAAGCTTTGGTCTAGATGGGATACAAAATAAACAAGATTAGCTCCTTTTATACAACAGCAAGAGGAATCAAAAAGATGCTTAAGAGTACAAAAGTGAAATAACCATTAGGTATTACCCCACTACATGTCAACTTCAAGTCTAATACATAAATAAGGTACAAAAGTAAAGCATCTTCATGGGCATCTTTTTTCATCAATAGAGCATAATGTTCATCTTCAACTTGAACAAAGTATCTCCTTAAACTTGAAACTCAACCGAACCACTAACCGGGTTGGTTACAGTTGCCGAGGACTACTGCAGCAAGTTTGCAACAACATATTGCTTCTTTTTGCCTTCTTCAACACAAACATGACCAAATTCTACAACTTAGCTCCAAACTCAATAAAAGTAAAATAAGAATAAAAATACTCAATTTGTGATTGGGATAATAAAAATAAGATAAAATAAAGTCCTGAAAATGTACTTAAAGTGGACCAAAAGTGGGTATGAATAGACACACATCAATGAGACTCTTCTCATCCTTTGCTCACCTGCTCAACTGTGGCATTCGACTCCACGTCTTTTTTCATCACCTTAACCTTCGTTCGGATACCACTTGTCATGGAGTTTTCTTCACAAGTTCGCATGCGACCTTAATTCTCGGACTAAGTCGGCCAAACTACAAAAGCACCGAGTAAAGGTGACCAAAATAAGAATGTTAAGATGATTGGAAGAATTGTATGTTTCTATACTCAAGTTGTTAAAATATGGAGTGTGATTTATAAATGAAAGACTACCATTTATTTATACTACTCTAAGGAACATCAAGAGATCCCATCTAGATATTTACAAGGAAGGTTCTAGCTACACAAGCTCTAACTGTGTGGATACTTCTCGATATTATTTGCTCTAGGGTTCCTCCATTTTCTTGATTTATCTGGATTGTTATTGATTTCTGAAGAACCTTCTAGCGGGACGTGACAACATTTTACATCATGGAAAGCCTTTAATGAATGGACATTTTCACTGACAAGCTGAAAAAGTCAAGCCACAATTTTATAGAAGTGGTCAAGTCGCATGAAGCTTTTAGGTTGAATTTTCGGAAGAGCTAATTAATTTATATTAAGCATGGGTCATCGAACCGAAGAGAAAGAAAAATCACATTTAATTCATTGATCTTGTGCATAGTTTTTTTTTTTTATACTTTTATCATATGTCGTCACCCATTCTGCTATGTGCTTATTCTTGTAGGGGTATGAGTGTGAACAACGTTGAAAGACAACATATTAGAGAGTATTCAATGTTCATTGTTGTTTCCTTCTTCAGACTTGATCATTTTTAGTTATAAACGTTTAAAATACAAACAAGTTGACCACATATGTTAGTACTACAATTAAATAAGAGTTCAAATGAACAGTCTGAAATGAAAGGTAGGAACAATCTGTCAATCTTAAAACAGAGAAAAGGATATGTTAGGGGTTGTTTGTTTACCTATTAATAGTTCCATTAAAAGACAACATTTGAATCGTTAAAGATGTGAATCTTGTTTGGTAAAAAAAAATGTCTCTTAATGATTCTAAAACCCTCTAAATGATTTTGTATCTTTGGCCTCCCTTAACCATTAAAACCCTAATTTCATTGTAAACAATTATCAAACAACTATATTTCATTTTGCACTATATCATGAGAGTCTTTTAATCATTCTGACCACTTAATCATTTTACACAAAACCATTGGTCTCTCTCTACCCCTTGAAATAAAGGAAATCCAATTATTCTATTTGACCACTTAAAAACTCAGATAGATTTATGTTCAATCAGTTCATTTTTCATGGCATGATCAAATGGCAATTCTTCTCCCCACAAGACAGAATCCTTCTGAACCCCCTTCCAATGGAGAGTATCAGGATCCCAATTATGCATCCAAATAGTTACACAACACTTATATGAACAAAAGCACAATAAAAATCACCTACAATCCTAGATATACCAAATTCTCCATCAAATCTTAACAGGTCAAGATTGAAAAAGAAAAAGTCAAAGACGAAAGCGAAATCTACATCCAACCTGAAACAGGGACACGACTCGATCATTTTCTCTATCACGGGTCTTTTGTAACGTCAAACGTCCATAAAAACGACTCAATAAACTTCCTGAAGAATTTGCCCAACTCTGCAACATTTACAAATGTCAATTTCTGTCACTTACATCCGATTCTTTGTACTACTTCTCAATTTCACCATTATCTCCTTTCACAGCAGAAGAAGCATCGCCTGTACTACACTCGCTGATAACCCCAATTTCGCCTCTTGAATGATGGGAATTTCTTGATCTTGAAGTCGAATCCCGAATCTTTTCTTTGTCCTTTTTCCTGCTATTAACCGTTAAGAACCCATTAGCCAGGGCTTCCAATGCTCGAGCAGTCGGTGGCCTATTTCGAGTGCTTTGCCTCCTGGAAGCACCATTTTGTTGCTCATCAGGACCAACCATACTTGCAGCTTGTTTCGGTGAGCCAGGCTCGGTTCTTTCATCTTTAACCTGGCCTGTTTCCGTCGCAAATTCACAATTTCCAAATGCAGGGGTAATATGGGGATAATTCAAATCAATCAAATTCATCGACTGAGGTTGCTGTTGTTCTTCAACAGTGTCAATCGAACTACATCTTGATGAAAAACTTAAATTTGATGACAATTTATGATTAGCCTGAGATGATGAACCCACATGAGAGTAAATGTTCTCGGTTAAATCGTCGATATCCCTTTCCAAGCTAGAACACGCCTTCAAATCCATGCGACTGCAAGCAGATAATCTCCTTCGTCGTTTTGCATAATGGCCTGAATTTGAATTTTCTGGTCTCGATTTCCTGCTCAAATTGGCTTTCGTAAGTTTCTTTGTGGCCTCGGGTAATACTGAATCTGAACCATTCGTAGTTTTCAGATGTTTTTTTGCAAGTAATTTCTTCTCACCGGAAGTTTTCTGTTTCTTGGACTTACGGCCGTTAGCAGTCATTTCTTGATCCACGAGAAACGTGTTTGCGCTATCTGATTCATCGCTAGAAACCAACTCACTGTGAACTTCATCCGAATGACTTCTTGTAATCAACTTCAGCGGTTCCAATTCTCTTACTTTGATAATATTCCCTCCACTTAAACTTGTATCCACCACAGTAAATTTCATTAAAATGGTGCTACGATTTGGAGCTCGAGGTTGAAGATAACAATGGCTTTTCCGTTTTTCAAGAAACCCATCTTCTTCTTCTTCCAATTTCTTTCCAGTTTCGCCATTTTCTTCACTATCATCAAGTTCAAGGAGTTGTGGCTCTGAAGCAACCTTATTCAAAACATCTGTTACAGAATCCAAATAAGCATCCCCTTTGATTAATCTCCTCGAGAATTTCTTCACTCCAGGCATCAAAAACACCAAAGAATGCTTCCCATTTGCGGCATAATTATAACCATTTGGTTGTTCTGAATGCCACCCTCTTGCAAGTAATCGAGGCCATACAGCTTCCCAGAATAAATCATTAGATCGAGCTTTGCTTAGCCGATAATCACCTGTAAGAAACTTAATGATCTCTGTTGAAGTGAGAGAAGAGCAAGCTTTTCCGATTGGTATTTCTGGTCGAATATGGATTGCTTGGTTTTGCTTGGTGGGCTCTATGCCATTGCCGGTCAAATCTGGCTTACCGCTTCCAATTGCCACTGCATCAACGAAGTTTTTGATCCCAACCAAATCTCTTAATGAGAACACATACCCTTCTAATGATATCCTCCCATCTACAAACGTTCTAGAAACCTGCCAAATCATGAGAACAAAAATATGATAATTGGTTTCAATAATAAAAGAGACCAACTCCATCCAAGATATCTATACAAAAGTATTCTTCATATTCTATTAGCAAATTGATCAAAAATAATAGCTGTATTTCCGCAAAAATCCCAATGGGATCTTATGTGTTTTAGATACTTATACACTGAAGTTGATAACTCAACGTATCAAATTATAATTTATCATTCTTTAATGCTATATAGCTGATGACATGGACAAGATGATGGCCGGCCACAGAATCAACTACCCTTTTTAAAGCTATATTACTCAAATGACTTAAATTCTAAGGCAAATTCCAAGTCTGACTGCCCATCTAGCAATCTTGTCATGAATAATTGGGCTAAAAAGTACCTCAAAGAATATCATATATTGCCAATTTGTATGAGTATGACTTATCAGGACAGAAGGTTCAGCAAGTAGTCCTCACATTCAAATCTGTGGATTGGAGAATATAAACTTCAGACAATTTGACAAAAGAGTGTTGCAATGCCATTAAATGTATCAACTCCTTCTTCCAAGGACAACATCATTGATGTAAACTTCCATGGTAAACCACAAAAATGATATCATGAAGATGGCATTCACGACTCTTAGATGTACCCAACCAACATTCTTCAGGCCAAAGGGCATCACCACTCGTTCATAAGGAAAACCATATCCATTCTTGGATAATGTTGAATTCAAGTTCCTAAAGTCCATTTGCACGCCCAATATAAGTTCTTTCTGTCAGTTATTCTAAAGCTTGCATTTGACACCATTTTGGCCTGCTTATTTCTAGGGATCCAAGGTAGGAAGTTCTCTACGTCTAGGTCAAATGAGTGCATGTCAACCAAATCTTTCTGAGAAGATGTAGTATTTTGTGAAGTTCATTGTCTAGTTTAGTCTGCTGACATATTTGTATGGTTGAAATTTGGTCCACCAATGAGATATCATCTCTTATTAGCAAACCCCATTTTCTCAAGTAACCGAACATTGCGACTAAGGCTTCATTATCTTCTTCGACAACATCTTTGACAAAGTGAACCGGATTCTTCTTCATCGACTTCATTTTTACATTACCAGCAGAGATTTTTTGAACCCTATTAGCCAAGTAGGTCATGTCAGTGAATTATTGATTCATCATTTTTGTCGTTACGGAAAAGTCATGGCCTTTGAAGTTATCTTAACTATCGTGCGTTCCGCCATAGGTGGGTAGCACCTACTCCTCAGTTGCATGAATAAGCTAAATTTTTTATGGCCTCTTGGAGGGTCTTCTATATTGAACAATTTGTTGGGTGACCTACAGGTTACTCCTAATGAATTGCTTGTGAAACTTTTGTTCCAAATGACTCCAAGTGTGAATAGACTTGGATGATATTGTAGAATAATAGGAAAAGATGATTTGATGTCAAGGAACTAGCCAAGAGTTCTATTTTCATGGAATTGTTGGTTCAACAGTCAACAGTGAAACGGGCTATATGTTCCATTGAAGACTTTGTCCCTCAACAAGAAAATCTCGTAAAGATAGGAGTCCTTTGTCCTTTTGGCATTTGCATAATTCTCCCAGTTAGGAATGTCAAAGAAAATTGGGATATGAACCTACAATAAAGCAAACAAGCCTGGTTGTTGTTTGACAACCTTATTAACGTTTGTTGTCAGCGGTTGATTTGCCAGCAAGGCATTCTTGATGTGTAATAATTCTTCCCATTGTCGTTTTGGTAAGCCATATTGCCCATGTAGAAGGGAACGTCCACTAGTGGCATTAGCAATAAGGGTTCAGAGTATGAAGTTAGTCATCCAAGAAGGGAGTAACAGATGTTTCTGAACAATGAGACCAATTGTTGGACAAATTGTTAGCAGAAACAATCCACTTCCATATAGTACATTTTCAAGTAAATGGAATTCCTGTCTGCTATAGTTTTAAAGTTGGAACCTAGACCAACGAAATTAACTCGAAAAAAAAGGTAATAAATAGGTTGAATAGAGTAACTTGAACTTCAATAAAGCATCCCTAGAAGTCTTGATTCCCCTATCTTCAAAGACAGTATGTATTCTAGCTAACTGACTTTGTTTCCCAATCACAGTGGTTCAAATCCCTTCAATAAAGCTTCTAAGATCTCCATGTTCTCTCAAGGTCGAGAACTAATTTCAATACTTAAGAGGAATTAGTTCTTCAGGCAGTTAATTACACTGCAAATCCTAAGGTTCATATGATCACTTTAAAGTGATTCATGCCTGTAGATGTGCCAATTTCTTTTCCTTAAGTTTATGTAGCCCTCAACTCAACATGCATTTATGGTAACGAATATGACCTAATTCTCGTGATCAAAGAGAGGGATCAGCTCCTTTTAAAAAGATTTTGATCACATATATAGCCCGATGATTTCAAAACTTTCAGACATGAATCACTTGTCCGCTACATAAGCATAACCACCTACTTACATGGTTAATGCTGAGATAAATTGTAATTGATAGTGGTTTGGGGTAATTATCCAATTCTAACCTCCTTGAGTGTTTATCCTTCAGCCATCAATTAATCTTCAAAAATCACTAAGTACTAGATGGTATAATATCTACAAACTGCAGCGAAATTGACAAAATATGCAAACTGTCAAAGGTTTCCAATATTCAACACATCAATGGTTTACCAAAACAATTAATTCTCAGCCATTCACCTAATGGATTTGTGTGAATCCTTAGTCGATATTACTCGGGAGGAGCCTTTATGCCTTGTCTACCAGACATTATTGCATTCATTAACTAAGTCAATCTAACAAACCAAGTTCCAAAAGTTTGAACATTAATAATTATATGCATGAAAATGGATCCCAATGCATCAATAAATATAGTTTTTAGTCTTTTTATATATTCTATATAGAAATCTTACATTTCATTATGGGTTTTTTACCGCATATATGAAGTTTTTTGCTTTTTGAACAGTTAAAAACCAAAGGTTTAATTTGGTCAAAGTGCACATCCTAATTTATAAGATCATTGGGTGTCTCTAAAGTCCACAGACGGAAAACAATATATTTATATGCGTAGGACCCAAATGTTCTTCTATACAACAGCATATTTACAGTTCAGGAGTTTCCAATGCTCAATACTGAGCAGGATTTCCAAGTTTAAAGAACTAGCAGAAGAACAGAATTCGGAAAGAGATGCTTATAAAGTGTTGACGAGCATAAAAGGGTCTTCGTTATAATCACTTTGTATAAATCCACCAATACGGTACCCTCACAAATGAAAGATAAATACAACTTACCAACATCAAGATCAACAGGCCTTTCATCCGAATGGCCTTCTATATTCCATTTACTCGTCTCTCTCTTCCAAACCATGTAACACATTATTGACAAAGTTCTTTCATCAGTGGTACCACCCCGAAATCTCTTGTATGCCATTGTTGAATGCGTCCCCATGCCCACTTTATCATTTGCAGTTCCGCTATACACACCATGAGTACATATATCTTGATGCCAAACATCACTTGTGTAAATAATAGGACTTATCTCCATCTTATAAAAATCCTCATGGGACTTGGGCAAGTTCAGTCAATTTACTTGGTATATTAGCTATTAAGGGTGCTCTAATTCTATTTATTTTGTTGTTTCCCAAGTCTACTAGGGTTTCCTTCCATTTATATAAAAAAATGTAATGCCCAATATTGAATGATATGATGATTGAGAAAAAGAATCGAGTCGTCTCATTTGTAACTCAAAACACTCGCCCAATGTGATGTCTTTAGTACCTTGGATGTGATGCTTGAGATCCAAGTGACCTCTACATAGGTCCTAGAAACCTAGTTCCTTCTAGAGTTTTCCAAAACCCTTCCCTTTCAAAAATCGGTCATGCATTATATTATCTGATCGGGAAACCCTAAATCAATTTGGAAACCCTAGCTACCATCACTGTCATCAAGCTAAAAACCCAGTTGCCATCATGAGCCATCGCCCATCATCATCAGGCCACGACTTAAACCATGATTTTATCTGGAACATGATTTGTCATGGTCAGAAACCTTAATAACACAGTGTTCGGCGTGTAGGAATTGGAGAATGAATGGAATAACCTTAGACAACAGATCCGACAGTTGTGCAACGTACATCCATGAGAGTTATCTCCTAATAAAATGGTCATAAACGACTGCAAGAACCAACAACAAATCCCAGATAGGGTGAAACCATAGTTCATGGCTATACATTGTCAATATATTAGAAGACCTTAGATATGAAGACTGATAACGAGTCACTCTAACCCTCTCCTCTGTCTAATCTTGTTCCTGTCCTTCCCGACACTCTTGGAACAGCTGGAGTAAGGAGCCCCCAAGTGAGCGTATTATGGGGAGTGGGTTCCAAACCTGAGTGGCAATGTAAAACTCAATCCATTATATTATAAGGTGGTGATCGCCAGCTCTTTCTTCCCCATGAATTGACTACAGCTTAAAGTGACGGTACGTATGGAACCAAAAGAAAAAAAGCCTACCCTCCAAGTGGAAACATTCTGTTTTGGACTTTCGGTTCTTCTCCACATTCTTACCGGGCTATCCAAGAAATTTTCTATGATTTTATAAACTGAAATTTTCACACGGTTCTCAGGACAGAGGAGGATGGGTGGGAAGCAGGTATTAACCTCACTTGGCTCCAAAAAACCTAATTCAAGCACCAGCACCCTAATTCCTCTTTCACGACCATAAGATAGGTTCAATGCCCATGGATTCTCCAACATTTTTGAATTTGAGGACGGTTTCTCTCGAATGAAGGAGAATAATTAGTGTGATTTAACGTAAGAGCTGCATTGAGACGCAAAAGTCTCCGTAGGGGTAACACGCAATGGTGCAAGGCAAGGCACACACCTCATCAAAGTACAAAATGTTCAGAAATATATATATATATATATATATATATAAATATAGGCGAAGGATCATGTGAGAAGGAGAGTTATGAGAAGCGTAAGAAGGGATCTGAACCCTTGATCACCTTTAATCTCAAACTCACCCATGAATCACGCTTGATATGGGGATTGATCCAGTGCATCTCATCCTAATGTGCATCCAAGGTGGAGATCCCTTCTTACGCTTCTCACTGGAACCCAACCCTATATATATATACACACACACACACACACACGACACAAAACAATCATTGGAAGGAATTGAGAGGCTACTTAAATAATCTATTTACAAAAGCATGATGTACATGAGTTAATATTATCATAACAACATATGTACATAGGATTATTGGCATTCAATTAAAAAGTTATCCATTAATAATTTAATAGTAATATAAAAAATGACTAGTGACTAGCATCTGTTAACAAATCATATTCAATTAGCATTAACATTAGCATTACAATAGCGTCCACATCATAAACCATTAACATTCAACAACATCAATTAAAATATCATAAAAATATATTGGCAGTCTATTAGCCTTTGACAATAGAGTGAGCTAGAGCCCATATCAAGGAGAAGAGACGAGAGGTGAGGACCAGCAATGTAAAAAGACGAAATAGAGAGAACATGTAAAATAACAAAAATAAAAGACTGGATAACACGATATTCCCCTCTGCTGAAAGATTAGCATAAGTCGAAACATGTTTCAACAATCAAGTTCCCTATGTTTCGAGATGTCATAGAAATCAAGACAAATAACCCTATAAAAACAAAGTAAACAAATCCTCATGCCAGGGGACTAGATAGTGAGCTACAAAGAATATATCAAGTTGCTTAATTGTTTATTGAAAATAATGCAATAAATATTCTAATCATGCTCAAACCATATAAAGCTAAACTGAAATAGGTTTCTGCAACACATTACATCCTGCTTAAACGGAAAGCTAAAAAGTCACCAACAAGGAAAACCACAAATACCACACAAGATCAAAGCATACTTGGGGCCATGTTGATTGTATAAACATGTTTGTGTCAAAAAATATAGAACCATTTAAAAGATTAAAGATACATTGTATACAAAAAATTGAAGTGCTTCTACTCTGTAGCTACTTTTTGAATCTTAAACAAAGATCATATGTTCCTAAAGCACATACACACAAGCTACAGTCATCTGACTGTTCAAGCAAGTCGTACTAAATAACTCAACGGGCAATTTCAAAGGAATAAGGAACGTTTGTATTTTACGTAAATGCAACACTAATATAAGTTTTCTATGATGTACCTCCAACAGGGAATTCTGGCCTTCTTGAGATGCATGGAGTCTCAAACGACAAAGCAACTCCTGTTGTCTTAAGCCACTAAATATCCTTTGTCCCAATATACACCTTCTGCCTCTACTTTTCCTAGATTCTGACCATCTTCTGTACTCATCAGACCTATAAAAGTTACCATAGTAGTACGACAATATATCCCCCATGTTTTTACTCTCAATTAATCTCTTCACCCGAACAAAATCCTTCTCGAATATATACAACCCAAGGAGAAAGCTACCCCTCTCAATCTCAGTCCATGAATCAAGAAAGCTGCCAGGAACAAGACAAAGTTGACTGCTACCTGCTGTACCTGCCACATGATCATTTTTCATGTTCGAAGCTTCTGCTGAAAAATCGGATGTTGGATTTTCATTCTTCATATCGACTTGGGGTGCTATTTTAGTGTCCCTCTCTATCTCTTTCATGTTCCCAACTTCTTGATTGATCCAAACAATAGGTATATCTAATCCAATTAAGAAGTCACTTGGTACTCCAGCTTTTGTTTCTTCCTCAATGGGGTTCTTAACGTAATCAAGATGCTCAGATTCCGTAATCAATGATGGGATTTTGGTCTGGTACTCATCACCAATACGAGAAAGGTTCCCTAATGCTCCATACAAACCATATGCAAAAGTTTCTGTAGGAATTAATTGCTTCCCTGACATGTCACTGCTACATTCATCATTGTTATCCATTTCAACTGAATTTATCTGCAGAAGATATCAAACACAAACAAAAATTCAATCCAACCATCTGCAATATCCCAATAATCATAGTACATAAACATGAACGAATTGCTATGTCACAGCAACAATCTCAAATAGATTATGGTGACTAATAGAATTTTTCCCGGAGTACAATGCTAGTGACGCTAAGATAAATAAATCAATGAATCAAAGAGAGGATTTGCAAAATGCAACCAGCATAAACGTACGTGTTTTCAAGTTTTACCATATAGACCCTTCAAAAAAACTAACTTTAGCTATAAGGCCACATCTAAAAAGTTCTTTACATATTTAGGAACTCGTAACTACATTTCGACCTTTTCACGTGCACTACATCAACATCAACATGCCTACATTGAGTATATATTTCGCCTTTTTCACTTGCATTCCATCCACATCAGCATTGCTATAGTGTTCAGGTCGCATTAGCAGTGGTCTAGGCGTTGCATTGCACACTTGCACTAACCACTTTGATTAGTAAGGACCAATTGGCAGGTCAACAAGGAGTTAAGTGTCCCCCAATACTTTGAATTTTATCAACTTGGTGGGAACCTTCCAGTCCTTTCTGAGTAATTGTATGATTTGTATCAATGGAACAAAGAAAATAGTCATCTAGAAAAGTAAATGTATCAAAATAGAGTATCAGAATTGTAATCATTGTAATGCAAACAAAACAAATAACAAAATATATCCTCTGTAACTATTCGTTGTCATTTCATCCACCCACTTTCATCTAAGGTGTCTCTCCACACTTCCAACCTAGTGTATCAACCAACACACATCAGAAAGCAAAACCATACACCATAGTGTACAATCTTTTATTTTCTTCTTGAGCTTATCCATAAATAAAGAAAAAAGTACAAATCCTAACCTCCGGTGTAACCTTACACTAGCAAGTGTCACATCCTTTCAAGCTCAATATTATCACATCCACGTAAATTACATTGATTTTCTTCTTCTCAAGTGCTCAAAAGATCAATTCCTATGCATTCTCAAGATCAATCAACGGCAACAAAAAAAATTGTTTTGATTATATTTCTTTGAGTAACATTTCTCTTGTGCTTAAAACCAGCTTCCGTAGTTCCATTGCGTATCTCAGAAGCTTGGTCCTCTACACTTTCAAATGTCCTTTGTTTTTGTAGATTGGGATCATCGCTCTCTTTTTTCATTCCCTCTAAGGGGTTCTTTACCAAATGTTTACCACGTGAGTGCTTACCAACAGGAGTCATCACCTCACTTACCTTATGGGGTAACATTCTCATCCATCAAAATGGTTCGCCATTAGCATCTTTACCAGGTAAGCGCTTACCTAGTAAGAGTCTTCTCCATCACTCACCAGGTAAGATTCTTGGTCCTTGCTATGCTTTTTACCGGTTAAGATTCTCGGTCCTTGCCATGCTCACCAATAAGGTAAGTGACACCCGATAAGCACTTACCCTGTAAGAGTTTCGTAACTGGCCCCTAAGTCTAACAAAAACATTAAACATCCCACTAGGACATAAAAGATTCACTCCCCAAACGCTTAACAAACCTAAACAAATACAATGAAGCCTTTACTTCCACTTTTCTTGACCTCCAACACTTGGAGTATACATACAAACTTCTAGTAGCAACATTGGTCAATGTTACGTACACTATCCTCACTAACACTTCAACAAAGTTACAAAATCATCCCCTTCATCTTTTTCTACCTTAGGTCGAAGTCGAACCAACCAGACTGACCTAGAGGATAAATCAGGAATCCAGAAACAAAAACGGCAATTGGACCAGAAAGCGCGATTGCTTTGGTTTTCAACCTCGACGAATTTGATGTAGCTTGGGTCCCTAGTTTTCTTCCCTTTTATCTTATAGACAACTTGTACGCATATTTCCCTTCTCTCATTCCTAGTTGCCTATATGAATCATTGTAGTCTTCACCTTTAATTTCTCTTACAACTTTCTTAGCTTCTTCTTAATAAAAACTTCTACTTATCCATGTTCTCTACACGTACAACCTTCTCACTTACACTATTATGCCACTTAAATCACGATCCACTGAAATAAAACTTGATTAATTAAATGCAGCATTATATATATATATATATATATATTCTTACATAGAAACAACATGTAAAGATTGTTTATATAGAATACCCCCTCTTCAACATGGAAAAGAACACAGGCAAAATCTCCATAAGTGATGCAGATTACCTTTTTTTTCTCTTGTTCTGTTGTACACATTCTGATTAACTACTTAACTGTTCGTCCTAAGCAATATCTCATAGTTGAACTTGAGATGTCACATAATATACAGGCATTACACGGGCATTCGTATGTAGATGCATGTTTACGGACATTATACAAGCATAAGATTGGCCTCTTAACAGAAAAATTGAAACAAGGCCTAATATATGCTTACAAATCACTCCAGCAGTTTTAATAGAGACATCAAAAACCAAAGGAAAAAGAAAAGGAACTATCCAGAAGAAACAAATACAAGCGGAAAATTGAAGATACTCCATCTGTTCCAAGGAAAAAGATGTGAACTTATACACAAATTCATTTCAAAAACCTACTACTTTCATAATACAAATATTATTGTAATTTGTTACTACCGCACAAACGTATCTTTCGATTTTGTTCTACTTGGTATAAGCCTATAACGTTTAAAGAAGATACACAAAAAACTATGAAGACGAATAAGAAATATTAAAACCCATGTCTATTTTATATTTGATAAGGCTAGGTTTGACACCAAAAAAGTCTACATGTATCTAAAACAGAATACGAAGTGCATTCGCATTTAATCCCACTGAACAACCATCAATGACCAAGATCCACTTTTGAACCTTAAGCAGGCATCACCCAGCCCCACCCCCACCCCCACCCCTGATTAGAGGGGTAAACGAAACAGAAGGTTTGAACACCCTAAAAACATACAAAATAGCTTGCAGTAACAACGACGTTAATCTCAATTTCTCGAAACAAATTGAAGAATATATGCAACAACAACGCAAGAGATCAACTTTTTAAAGCTGTTTGTAGCAAACGATTACAATGTGATCCCATCAGACTAAAAACACTCAGATTAGTCGCTCCATTTTTGTACTTCAACCAGGCAAGCATCCACCCCCCCCCCCTTAACGGGATTTCCCAACTCCTGGTTAGTGACGGTAAACGAAACAAAAACTTTGAACAAATTAAATATAAAAAAAAAAAAAAACATGTACAAATTTGTTTAGAGCAACAATCGCGTTAATCTCAATCGAACAAATCCCATCATATCACAAAGACACAAACAAACAAAAAAGCAAATAATACCACCAATTCCCCCAAACAAATTAGAAGAACGTATACACCAATAACGCAAGATATCAACATTTTAACAAGTTGGGTAGTAGAAAATCGCAATGTGATCCCATCAAACCAAACAACATAGAAGTCAAATAACATTCAATCAGTGGTTCCATACAAACAGAATCCATATACAATCCATACACTCAAACCCCACAAGAGGACAAAGCAAGAACAGTATTCTTGAGATAAATAGCTGAAGAAAAGAAGCAGAAAGAAACATGGGTATTCGGGATGTATTGTTGTTAACAAAAGACTCAGATAGAAACATGCAAAACGTGTAACATGAGTAGGATACCTGGTTTCAGAAGGGAGTTGTTGAAGGTGAATCGCGAGAGGGAAGAGAAGAGAGAACCCAAATAGAGAAAAAGAGAAAAGAATTGAAGGAAAGAGTGTGACGCCAGTCTCCGCTTGGGAGAGGGTTTTGTGGAAGCAAAAAAGTAAATTTTGATTATACGAGTCGAGAAGAGAGAGATCGGGTCTGGTCCGTTTACGAGACGAGAGTGAGATGCATAGACGCGAAGGATGGCGCGTGGGCTACACACTTGCATGCAATATAACGTGGCACGCTTCACATAGTTTTAATAAACGTGATCCATAAAATTATTTTAATGAAAAACCATATTATATAATTTCATAAATACTTTCTAAGTATTAATTAAATATATAAAAGTCTTTTAGAATAGAAATTAAAATCACAAATATTATGGTAATCATTTTATTCTCGGTTCTAATATCAATCACCCGTCTTAAATTTATGCAGATATCACATCACGTCTCGTATCATTTAGTAGACCAACAATCGAAACCAAAAACTGGAAAATAGAAGCGGAAATCAAAACCGAATAATTTTCTTAGTTGAGGATTTGGCTTTATCAAGTGATACGACAACCAGTGTGCATGATCATGCGATAATTGTTGCCATTTGATGTCAACGTTATAGACGAACACCTCCAAACACAAAAAAATGTTGCATTCAGAATTTTCATTGAGATTTGATAATGGGTATGAAAATGTGTTGGATGTACAAAGCCAATAAAGTAAACAAGGTGACCGAAGTGATATGGAAATGCAATAAAGACCTATAGCACTTGAAAGTGCTATATCCATATATGTTTTCTGTCATGCTTCGATAACGTACGTGAGGGCATATCCACAATGATTACTTGTCTAAGCCTTAGAGGCATTTTACCAAACGTTTACTCAGGTAAGTGAACACCAAATCACGTTACTTTAAGTCCTTAACGGATGAATATGGTAAGACCCAAGAATCTTACCCGGTAAGAGCGAGACAAATACCAAGAGTCTTACCCGATAAGTGAGGGCGACGATTCTTACCATGGTAAGCACTTACCAGGTGAATTGTTGCATATTATACCGTTTTGATGGACTAAAATTTTACCCGGTAAGTAAGTAATAGTGTTAAATTTTACCGGTAAACATTTATCGGGTAAGTGTTTGGTAAACAGCCCCTTAGCCAAGCTTGGAAAAATGGCCCTTTAAACTGAGGTTGACGATAGGTGGGGTATGGGAATGGGATGATTATTTCTTTTTTCCTATCAGTTTTAAAACAGGGGTAACAAAACAGATAATTATCCATATTCATAACCAATCCATTAAGATACCAGATAATGAACAGATAATGGATAAACGGTAAAAAGAAAGTTAAACATTTAGAATTATAAATAATATTGTTAAACAAAATTATTCTATGTCCAATTCAAAAACAACATTTCCGTTTGTTGTATTTATTCATGTTTGTTTCTCATTTAATCATCATGAGCTATTTTCTCGATAGCAGGAATAGAAAATTAAACTTACCATTAATATACGACATATATGATGGTGTTATAGGAAAATAAATTAATATTTAACTTTATATAATTATTTGTGTGTGTATATATACACACAGATACACAGGTTTATATACACATATATATATAACGAAAAAAAATCTTCCATATCCTATTTGTTAAAATGTTGAGTAAACAGATGGTGGATAAATTGAAAAAATTGTGTTTGTACATACTTTTATCCAACGGTTCAAACTATAATGGTAATGGGTTTACCCTCATATATTGTCCGTTTTATTTTTATTTTTTTTATTAACATGGATATCCAACCCGCTATGCGAGCCGACTAATCTCAGTACGACCACCTGTTTTGCAGATAGTCGGAGTCACCGCATTTGAATCTCCATGGCCACAAGAGGATTTGTATTCCTACTTGGATTTGAACATGAGACCTCTAGGTACTTTTGACCTTTGAAGCCAAACTCAAACCAATCAGGCACCATTCTTGTGGTTAAGTCCGCTTTACTTTAAACCAATCATATCATTTGATGAAGTCTCAACTAAATCTTACACTATTGTTTTTCTTTAAATTTTTGTTTACATCAATAATTATAATTCACTCGAAAATATTACTATGAACTCACAATTTGAGTTGACTCTTAACTTTGTATTTTCAAAGATATGGAACTTCGTCTTATAATATTCAATATCTCAGCATTATCATTTGTGAAAGACAAGAACGAATTGTATATATACTTGCATTGACCTTCATTTGTTATGGTCTTAGAGCTTCCATAAATATCACACGTTATTGCCATTCTTGATGGGGAGAGTAGAGCCACAACATTTTGAAAGATGGTTACTTGTTACGTGTATTGCATATCAAGGCTATCAAAGTGGAACTCTTTCTTCCAATTTGACCATAATAATGAAATTACTTTCAGAAAAATGATATATATATATATATGTATGTATATGTATATGTCATACTGTAAAGCTAAAGATGACATGGAATATGTTACCCTTATTTTCAACCAATTAAATTCAGGATTATCAATACCAGACATTGAAGATACCCGGTATGAGCTTAAATAGCCATATTCTAGATGTTGTAAATTAATGGTCAGTTCGGTGGTTTTCCATTAGAAAATTTGCATTCTCATTTTAAGTCATTTATGGAAGTACCAACTATTTTCTCATCCTCAAAGTCTCTAATGATACACGACTGAATCTATTTCCATTTTATCTACGGAATAAAGCTAAAATCTTGGTTAAATTCACTCAACTATATTCTATAGTTTATTGGAACGATGTAGCTGAAAGAACTCCTTAAAAAAATATTTTCTTCCTATCATGAATGCCAAGTATCCACTGAATTTTGTTTATTCAAATAAGCAGACGATAATGCAATACCTGATGCACGGGGGAAAGTACAAAAAAACTGTTGAGAAAATGTTGTCAGCATGATATTCTTACTTTATCGTATTAAGCTAGAGACGTTTTACAATATTCTCACAACCACTGCTAAACAAATGCTAAAAGAGTTTTCACAACCAGTACCTATAATGGTGGATATGACATCCTAGAAAAGATGTACAAAACAATGGTCATTAGTTGACCCACGAGATCAAGTACCAAAAAGAGACAACAATTATATATGAAGTAGATGTATGCACAACATTAATACCATAACTCACAACGATGCCAACACATGATTGTTGGTCCTGTTGTGACATGTATCACCACAACATCTAATCTTACGGTTAATTTTGTGCAATGTTGTATCGTAGTGAAGGGCACTGTTCTGATCTAGATTATATGAAAACAAACCTAACGGGCAATGACAAATGAGTAATGATGCAAGTGTAAAAACAATTGGTATATAAAAATATGTGTTCAAAGGACGCTTCTCTAAAGTTTCGTATATAAAAACTATATGACACTTTATTTTAAAAATATTCTAAAAACTTGTTATGACATCAAAAAACCATTCTATTAACATATTGTAACACTTCTACATAGAACGTCCAATTATTTTGACTTAATACTATAAAACAACATATTAGCACATTTAGACAAATTTTGGCGTCATATAAAGCTCGTTTTTTAGGAGCGTCCTAAAAATTATAATTTTGATAAATTGAAAGAAAACGCAACGTACTTTTTAAGTTGACTTTTATTTTGTATAATGCACACTTAAAACATTTATCTTATTACCGTATATGTCAGAGCATCTCCAATAGATAATCCAAAATGGAGAAAATGGGGATTGTAGACAATTTTTCACCCCAAACAGATTCTCCAAAACTTTCTCCAAAATGGAGAGTGTAAATTTCTCCAAATTGGAGATCTTTAAAAAATTGATTACCATGAGAGAGCAATGATTTTTTTTTGTTATATTATAACAAGGTAACCTTTGATGTAATCTTCAAAATAGAGAATCTGTTAGAGTTAAATATAATTTTTTTTAGAGATATAAGACTTTGATTCTAATTTTGAAATACTTTTAGAAAATCTATTGGTGATGCTCATGTTATCGACTGAAATATATCACATAAAATATGAATTAGATCAAAAAAATTTACCTTTTTTTCATACATTCTCAAGTATGAACCTAAAATTTTAAATATACAAGAGGGGGTGTTTGGGATTGCTTATTTAAAACAACTTACGTTTTTTTTATAAAAGTCCTTATCAACTTATTATAAGTTAGAAGAGCTTAAATTCTTTAAAAACTTCTTATTACCGGTTTGGCACCGATACAAGCTGTTTATCCAAACACTCAAAAGTGTTTATTACCGATGTCATACCGAAATAAGTCAATAAGTTGTTTTTATAAGCAATCTCAAACACCCCCAAAATAACATAATAAAAATTTAAAAATATATTTTTACAAAATAAAACTTGAATTAAAATATACGCAATAATTTTTGTAACGTAAAATATTACCTTTGAAGAAAATCCGTTACGAACCACATATAATATTTCCCAAATTAAAAAAAAAAAAAAAAACCTTATCTCAAAAATTTCATCTGGGCCTCTAAATAATAAAATGCTTTTTTTTATTAAATAAAAATTCAGAAACCCAAAAAACTAGGAAAACATGTTAGCGAAAGAAACGGCTGGTGCTGCCTTCGATCTTCCCGTGGAGGTGTTGGAGGTGTTACCTTCCGATCCATTTCAACAGCTCGATGTTGCTCGCAAGATCACCTCCATTGCTCTCTCTACTCGTGTCTCCTCCCTCGAATTGGAGTCCTCCGACCTACGCCAACAGCTCGCTGACAGGGACGCTGTCATCGCCGACCTCAACTCTCAGCTTGACTCTCTTGACTCTTCTCTGTCCCAAAACCTCCACAAACTGTCCATTGCTGATCAGGAAAAAGTGGGTTTTGTGTATTTGACTTGATTTGCTTTATATTCTTTGTTTCCTTGTGTAATAAGTTTGGTTTGGTGTATTAGGAAAATTTGTTGAAGGAGAATGTATCACTGTCGCAAACGGTTAATAAGCTCAAGCGTGATGTTGCTAAGGTATTTCGAAAGCCTAAATTCGCTGCTTATTCTGTGTGTTATTCAAGTTTGTCATTTGATTCGTGTGTTGGATTTCAAGTGATATATTAGACTGTCGTTGTTGCATGTTGAATTCCGGAGGTCAGTCAGTTAAATTTGTGCTAATTTGGCTTCTGGGATTTACAGTCTTGTTAGACTTGATTGACTTCCTAGTTCCTAGAATTGATGTTGTTGATACCTTGTTATTGTTGGACTGAGAATGCTAGAAAAACCATGTACTCAGTCTCTCCTTTTTGCTTAAAATTGCTAATGCCTTTTTATTTTGGAAAATGGTAAAATGATATATATGATAATCACTTTGCATCATGTATGGTTGGAAAGGAAATGCTAAGTGTGCTAATCTTATTACTAGTGCCTGGTTATGAACTGTGTGTGATTTCACAAGTGGTCTTGTCATACTCTTGTTAGAAAGCTTGATTTAGGCTTCTCATAAATTGATGAATATATAACAGACCAGCCAGATAATGGTGTTGGGCAGTGGTGACAATATGTGATGGTTTTCAGGTCACTATTGTCACTTTGGAAAGCCCATGAGTCATCTTTCATCCATCACACTTAGTTTGAGGAAATCATATTCCTAGCAGAAATAGATGCCATGGCTTCTGTAACAACAAGCACTAGAAAGTTGAGAACATTAGAAAAGAGTTTGCGCTAGTACCAAGTTCTTATCACTTAGATTTAGTTTTTCCAAATTGTTGTGATAATTTTTTGTAGGTTTTGGGTTTTGAGAATTGACTTTTTATTAACTTCATTATCGCAAGATACAACATTTTAAAAATTGTAGCATATCTCTGAAATCAGCTGCAAATAGAGCAGAATATAGGAAGAATTTAATTAATGGTAGATTCCTACTAGTCAGGGAATTAGGCTGAGTAATTTTCTTTATTTATTTCCTTATTATTTCTATGTATTGTGTATATAAAAACATTTTACTCTTGAATTTAGTAATAGAACAAATTCATGGTTTTCCTAAAAGAGCGCTGAAATTTTGATGGTCAACTAGGTCACTCTTCTTTATAAAAATGTTATGCCTTTAATGAGGTTATCACCAATATAAAAGTAATTTTGATTATCTTGCATAAACATCTTATTAATATCACTGCTGTAAAATGAATCAACATTGTTTTTGGCATATCACATTAATTGTATTCTATGCTTTGGGGTCATGACAGTAGTAACCCTTGTATAATTTACTACCTATATCCATGGAAATAGCTACACATTTTTTGGGATATTCCATCAAAATTGCAACACTATCTTTATTTGGAAGGATCCTAACTAAATTTATCTATTTGCTCTTATTATACGTAGGCATAAATCAGTAATATTGATGTAGGTTCACAAGATTCCTTGAGGTTCTTTTTTTTCCAGAAGGGTGTCCTAGGTTATGCCTGGACTAATTCCGGCAAATTGTGACCGCAAGAAATCAGCCCTGATAAACTTGGTGGCCATAATTGTAGTGTATGCCTGGAATCGGACCTTGGGTAGATGGGATATTCCACCACATTCCCCAGGACCTCAACCACTACGCCACAACCCTTGTAATTAAGATCCCTTGAGGTTATTGGAGGGCATTTGAGACATATGATAATTAGCCAAACATTTTACTTAAACCATTGGTCTAGTCAAATATGGGACAGAGGGAGCTCATTTACTTATTTTTGTAGGACTTTGGCCTTCCCTTGAGGCTACTTGGCAAGGCCCTCATGGACTGACTATAAAGAATATCCATTCGATTCATTATGATCATCACCGTCGTCATCTAGTAGCAATTAATTGATAAGTTAACTTGTGAAAGAATACCTGATGTTAATCTTGTCCGAAAATTTGGCAATTGGATCATGTCTGGGTCAGAGTGTTCATTGGTGGATTTTGAATTTGAAAAAGGGAAAATATGTGAGATTGGATTGTCCGATTTTACCTCCATGTGCTCCACTGGACTTTGTTTATACTAAAGCCTATTTGCAAATTATAACAGATTAGGTGATACCCCAACTATTGGATAGATTGCTAGTTATAATTGTTATACCATGTTATTTTGCTGACACAGAACGAGCCAATCAAATTTACTGAAAATAATATGTTCTCTCTTTCACTGTTGTAAGCATTAGTTCAAGAACCTTTGTTTTCTAATAAATGGATAATTAAAACCAACATTTAGTCTGCTGTTCCTTTCTAAGCCATCAACTAAATCATGGTTGTACTTCTTGCAGCTGGAGAGCTTCAGAAAGACACTAATGATGTCACTTCAAGATGAAGAAGGAAGTTCTGTAAGTAGTTCCTCTATGAGGGTTCGGATAGACGAAGATTGTTTATTAAGGTTGGAGGTCTCATTTATGTAGAAGAATAGTATAACATAATTTTGAAATCCAACAACACTTAAATGGGATTGGAGACATTACTTAAAAGTCCCAACCATTTTCGGTTAGCTTACACCGTAAGTGCTAATCAGATTTTATCCAAAAAAAAGTTCTAATCAAATTCCCTTCTGTTCTCATATTCTGTAACTACAGGCAACAGCTCCTCCGGTTGTTGCAGCCAATGTCCAAAACCATACAAGCTTATCATCTCAAACATTTTCTGGAGGTCACTTAATCCCTTATTTCATTTCAAATATTTCTATTCAAAGAAGAGCCTTATTTGACAAAAGGGTGAATGTGTTCCAGAAGAAGAGGAAACCGTGCCACCTTCTAGTTTTTCGTCAATTAAGAGTCAATCCTCAGATGTAGGAAATTCCTATCATGATGAGCATGTGAATGATGGTGAGACACATCGCCTTATTTTTATTAATTGACGACTGCCAATGGTTTTGATCAAGTGGGTAAAGTTAAATCATGTTTTGTCTTTTTTATCTTTTATCTTATCAGCCTCAAGACCTCGTGTATCACCAAGCCTTTTGTTAGCATCCCAAACAAACACACCTCGGCTTACGCCTCCTGGATCCCCACCAAGTCTATCGGCATCTGCATCCCCATCAAGGACTCCTAAGCCAGTTTCTCCAAGAAGACACTCAATTGCAGTTTCAAGAGGATTGTATGATGACAAATCTTCGGTCTTTTCATCTGCAAACTCAAGCCCATATAGCTCCATGTCAGGTACAAATGCTGAATCCTAGTGTAGTTAGCTTTAAAAACTCCCATCTGTAGAATGAGAGGCCTCTTATGCAGCCAATATGCATTCTGCCACCAAATAAGAGCATATTTCCTTTCAAAGTAAATACAATCAGGAACACCGATCTTCCTTCTTTCAAAAAAGCTGGTCTGGCAATTTTCCTACTGTTTTCATGTTGAGTTTGCCCTTCCAACTCATCTAAACAATCTGGGTTGATATAATTCACAGGTTCTTTTTTTTCATTGCAGAGACCTGCAACTTGTTAATTGTATTACGAACTTACTGATCTCTCATGGTGCCATTATGAACTTCCATTATAGCTGGGTTATTGATATTATCTTTTTTAAACGGTATACTTGGGTAATGTTATGATAGGAAATTATGGACATTTTCATCATCTAATTCTTGTGTGATCATTATCATTTCTACACTCGGAGCTCTGTTTGCTTGCCTATAATCCAAAATTTAGAGAAAACAGTTCCCTCATCCCTGTTGGTCAATTTCCAGATTTTGTGATGTCGTGTTATTAGTGACTAGGCTGTGTTTATTTCAGGACGGACTCGAGTGGATGGTAAAGAATTTTTCAGACAAGTCAGGTAAAGACATGCCGCCCTTGCAGTTCCAGTGAAAAAAAATTCACATAAATTAGTTCATTATATTGGTAATGGTTTTAACTTTTTGAATCATCAGACTTGTTTTTTGCTGTTGTGAAAATGCATAAAAAAGGCTGCAGTTTGCAAGATTGAGTGATGTTGCACAAAAGATGCCAAATAAGAATGGTTATTTATCTTGCATTCCCATTTCAAAGTTTCTCCATAATTGCTCATTCTTCCAAAACAGTGTTCCCTTTTTTCTGCATTTTCATAAAACAATGGTTTGTTTACAACAAGAATCCAATTACATATCTGTGTAACAAAAGGCCTCCCAGTTCTAAATTCTTTATCTGGATACACGATGTGAATTATTTTTGTTTGTGACTACTTACATTGCAATTGAGTATCGTTTGAACTCATAAATGCAGAATGAACACTACTTGAACACACACTCAGAATACAATTCATTAGCTGCACAATTTTCTTTCGATAGTTCTAAAATATTTTTGGGGTAATTATTTGAGTCACTGAAAGACCGAGCCTCGGGGGTTGTTCTTTAGCTGTATGATTTTCAAAATTTAATTCGTTGCCATATATAAAAAAGATAAACTTAATCCGTCTCATTAAATTTGCAACATCTTGGTTATGTTTCTCTTGCACCTGCTTTTATTTGCATGTTATTGCTTCATATATAGATTTTCAGTTTTTGAATCTTTTTTGCATTTCTCTCCTTCACACACTTTTCCACAAGCCGGGGGGTCTTCACGGAAACAACCACTTTACTCTTTGAGGTAGAGGTCACGTTTGCGTACATCTTACCCCTCTTAGATGTTTGCTTACATCTTCCCTCTTAGACATCACTCCCAGGTGGGATATACTGGGCCTGGTTTGGTTTATTTACTTGTGTTTAAGGGATCGCATGCAGATCTATCAAATGTGTCCTACATTGTTGACAAGTACTTAAATACTTCATCTGAATCATGTGTGAAGTCAAACTTCACATCCAAATTTGTATATATAATATACAAACCAAACCAATATATCCTACATGAAGGTGATGTCAGGGGTGAGATTTATGCAGACATGTCCTTCCTTTTCTGTGAGAAATAAAGCGGCCACCACGATACTTCCATTTGTGTCTGCTGTTCATACTGTCATCTTGGATGTGCATCTCATTTTCGTTTCCTTCATCAGGAGCCGATTGTCATATGAGCAGTTTGCTGCATTCTTAGCAAATGTGAAGGAGCTAAACTCCCAAAAGCAAACCAAGGAGGTACAAGTTTTTACACACCGTTGTTACTCCCACCGTCATTTTTATGCACTCTTTTTTTAGGTATATAATATTTATATAAAACAAATACTAACACACACTTGATCTTCTAGAAGACGGGCTCTACTGGCAACCTGGATATTGTTGGGCCATTGACCCTTTGTTTTTCTGCACTCTTCGTCTAATTATTTGGGACTTTTGTAGGATACTCTGCGGAAGGCGGATGAAATTTTTGGACCGGATAACAAGGACCTCTATGTTATATTGGAGGGGTTAATTACTCGTAACTTTCACTGAAACGAATACACGATGTTTGTCGTCTGTGATTATGTCGCACTATTTCCTTTCATGTAAATCGCCTTTTTTTGAATATTATTTCACATCTGAAAATCTTTTTATCTGATGTATTTGTCTCACTTGTATTTATAAGTTTCTTTTTAGCAATGGTGGTTCGTCATCAATGACTGTTCGTTTCATGTTCTTCGATATTGAGTGTTTGATTGAAAACCATCATGGTTGTCCAAAAGTGTCGTTGACACGTTTTTACAACATAAATGATTGTTGTAAATTTCATCGTCATCGATTTGTTTCTTGATCAACAGAAGGATTCGTTAAGCTAAATCAAATTGAAATATGCATGTACCCTTTTTAATTTTAAAACAAAATCATTTTAGCTCAATAGGTTGTGATAAACATCTAACCCAATCAAATTTGTCCAAAAATAGATATTACTGAAATATGAGCAAAGTATGAAGTAACGAGCCCGTTTTCTTATATTTCTCTTTATAGTAGATTTCTTTTATCTCAATGGACCTTATCTTTGATTTATAACCAAAAATTACAACTAAAAAGAGTAGGTGGATTTATTTATTAAAATGGTTTTGGGACCCACAAAAAGTGGTACGGAACCGGTCAGCACTTTTTTTCCTCACAACATTATAAACCAGATTTTTTTCAAGCTGATATGATAATGTACTGGTTCAAGAGTCAAAACCTACCCATTAAAAGATGCCTTAACAATTTTTATCTCATTTTTTTTGTGTAAATGCAAATTTGATCATCTCATATTAATCTATGGGTTGTTATCTCTTCAAATAAGATGTTTACAACTCATAATACTTGGCTATTATAATTTTGTGATAGATTCCTAGTCTATAATGCACCTTTGATTTTCATGTGCTTTGTGAAGTTGCATAGAGGATCCTTCAGGATGTGGTGTGTTTGTTTCCTGAATTGTAGATGACTCATAATTTGTATGGTAGATATTGAATTGATTTTATCTAAAATAATTAAATGGTCAGAATGATTAAAAGGTATTTATAATTTAATACAAGATCTCATAATCAATTGTGGTAATGATAGAGAGGAACAAGTTCTTAGGTGGCGTTTGGTTCGTATAATGATTTATGAAGAAATGGAATCTGTCAAATGAATTGAAATCTGGAAGGAATTTGAATGAAATGTCATTAGGTTTGACCAAGTGTTTGATTGGTAGGAATGAAATTTAATCTGTCTAATGAGTTGGAATCCACCCGTTTAATTTGCAATGGAATTAGAATGAAATGATGAAAAAAAGACAAAAATACCCTTTTTCTTATATATATTTTTTAAATTAAAAATAACAATAAAATTAACATTTAATGAGAAATTTCAGAATTTAATTGGAAGCAAGTAGTAATCGGTCGAGAGCATCATAAGCAAATCCCGTGTGACCACCTGCAAAACCTCCCCTCCTCCTCTGCCGACACTCCTCCTCCTCCTTCTCTCTCATCTCTAGCGACCCCCACTTTCACCCCGCCCTTCTATGCTCTCATCTCCGGCCTCTCCTACCATGACTGTGCTCCACAGCTTTCGTCGAATATAGGTTGGAAAAACTCACCATGGAAACACAACCACCCTCTCCCTCCTCCATGGTCATCTCCCTTTCGCCTTCTTTTCTACCTTTCGTTGCCGCCACAACCACCGAAGAACTCGTTTTTCGTTTTAGGTTTTTCTCACTCTCAGATCTGGTTTCAGATTTATGAAGTTGCAAGGTCGAAGCTTCGAAGAGGGAAGGGGTTTAGAGGCGTTGGTGACAGTGAACCTAGATATGGTTTGTTTGAACATTTAATGAGGAAATTGGAAGCAAGCAGTAATCGATCTCTGGTTCTCAAATCTGGTTTGTTTGAACATCTAATGAGGAAATTGGAAGCAAGCAGTAATCGATCGAGAGCATCATAAGCAAAATCGGAAGCAAGCAGTAACCGGTTTGATTTTGATGTTTGATAAGCAGAAATCGGAAGCAAGCAGTAATCATGAGGGTATTTTTGTCATTTACATATTTTTAGATGAAATGAATTTCAATTCCATCAGTTTTAGGAAGGAATGGTGAAATCCTCAAATGATGGAATCTTTGGTATTCAATTCCATTTCATGGGCAACCAAACGTTGGAATTAAATTTGGTCAATGGAATTGATCATTCCAATTCCACCAGATTCCGGCGGATTCCAACGAACCAAACGCCCCCTTAGTATTATAATTCATTAATTTGTGGCAACAAAGTTCAGAAATAGAAACGAATTAATCAATTTTGGGTTTGATTAGAACATCGGAAGATGATATGAATTCTATACCAAAACACTTCAAATACCATCTTGATTGATAAAGGAACAATCCACCACAATCAAAGATAAATGAACACTCGCATTAGAACCCACCACGCTAATCTATAAAAAAAATTAATCCACATCTCAACCAGATGATAGTTCCACATCTAGTTTCTTGAACGTTTGATGCTTTAACACGTGATGGTTCAACATCTAATAACCCCAACACTGATGGTTTTCAAAGGTTCAACATCAGCAAACATCAGATGGCCTAAAAATGCTGATATTTATTGAAAGTAAGGCAAGATTGACCCTAGGCCAGGTGTTTCAGCTAGCCGAGACAATTGTCTTGGTCTTTCCCTTATTAAACAACTCTTCAAAATGGGTAATGGCTAGTTGGATAGCCATTAACTGATGTGAATCCGTGATTGAATTAGAACTTTGACGGGATGCCTCTACATCTTAGGATACGATATCAGAAGGTGAGACATGACAAGGAAACAATTAGCAGACATGAATTAAGATACCAACGCTGAGCAACATGTTAGTTGAGAAAACACGCCGACACAGACAATTTTGCTAGACAATTATTGTCTTTGACCGATACAGAGATATACTCTTAATATAACCATTAAGAGTAAACAAACACACTATTTTGTATTGTTCGGCTAAACTTGACAAGCGAAATCAAAAGAAACCATTTTCGTTAGAAGATTTTTTTTAATTTTAGACCGAAAATGTTAAGGAAAAAAGTTGTTGGGTTGAAACTGAATGCTAAATAGAGGGGTATACCATGCAATATGCTAAGAAAAAATGTTGTTAGGGAGTGTTTGAGATTGCTTATTTAAAGTGCTTATTGACTTATTCCAGTGTAATATCGACGATAAAGAATTTTTAGTGTTTGGATGGAAAAAGAAAAACGATGCTTATACCGGTAATAAAGAGTTTCTGATAAGTTACTCTCATCAAACTTATCAGAAACAACTATTAGTTTTGAAAACCATATTATATTTTTAACCTTTTCTTTTAACCCTTTAACTCACCCCATGAGATCGCCGACAACCATGTCCTCAGGCTTCCCCGACAGTCATCCAGACTACTCAACATCAACACCACCGCCGACGATCTATGAGATTATCGACATCTTCACATGAGCAGTGAATCAATCTATGAGAGCAGTGAATCGGCTTTAACTTTCGTTTTAGGGTTGGATTTAGAGGGTTAGGATTTAAGAACTTGATTCAGAAAATCGATTTGAATCACAGATTCCACCCCAATTACAAGACCTGGTGAGGAAGAAATCGATGTTGGGAAGATCTGAGAAATGGAAAGGGATCGAGATATGTTGTTATGAGAGGATTTTGGCACCGCTACTCTTCCTCATCGATGGCGTCGGGTTATTTCTTCTTTCCAGCACCACTGCTCTTCCTCATCGTGGCTATTCTGTTCATTTCCCACCGTCCCTTTTTGAAAGAATGTCCTTTTGGTTATTTAACAGGGATAAGCAAAATTTACCAAACATTAATTTATTACGTTTTGGTACCGTTATAAGAATCAAAATACTTTTTATAAAATTTCAGTTTTACACCACATAAGTTTATAAACACTTAGGGGCTGTTTGTTTTTCAAAAAAAGCCTCTTAATTACATCTGAAGTCTGATTCGGTCAGACATTTACCATTTCAGACTGTTTGTTTTTTTTTTTTCAAATTAAGAGCTTAAAACCTCTTAAAATCATCTGAATTTTAAGTGAAAAATGGAAGTCTGAAATCACTTTTAGACGCCTCCTCCTGTCTCGTTCCCGATCTCGACTTCATTCCCGCCTCTCAAAGAAGAAGCCAGATCTCATCTCAGCTCTCGATTATAGTGTGTGTGTGTGTGAGAGAGAGGGAGAGAGAGAGAGAGGCATCACTTTCCCAAGAAATCTCTCAGAAAATTTGGGTTAATCTTGCTTTCTCTGTGTTTCTGAGCTCCATTTTCATGGTCGCCGGTTCGTTTTCAACTTCTTCTCAAGTAGTAATGGGTTTAACAGCTAAACTGATGACTGAATCTAGTCGGAGAAGATGAAGATCACCGGGAAAATGGATCTACCGGCTATTGAGGGTCTTGCCTCTCTATCTTCCTCGGCACACACACACTATCACCGGGAAGATGAAGATCACCGGGAAAAGTATATGGTTGTAGCAAATGATAAAAGTATATGAGGAGATGTAAAGGGTGAGATACCCAAGGAGGAATAATTGGGTATATGCAAAAACCAGGGGGCAAAACCATGGGTATGAAAAACCAGGGAGCAAAACCATGGGGAATAGTTGGGTATTTTGATTTAAAAAAAATGGTATGTCTTTTGGAAGATTTGGTGTAGCATAGGATGTAATTTATATTCATGTGTTAAAAGTATATGGTAGTTTACAAATGGTTTAAATGATTGGATATTTCAGTTAAATTTAATTGAAATGAATTGATTCAGATTTTAGACTTTAGAAGTTTGTCAGTTTATAAAAACAAACAGTCTTATTGATTCAGATTTCAGATGTAAAAACAAACAGTCTGACTGATTCAGATTTCAGATTTCAGACGTAAAAACAAACAGTCTGACTGATTCAGATTTCAGACTTCAGCACCACCTCTTAAAATTCAGAAGTGAATTCAGACTTCAGACTTCAGCACCTCTTAAAAAACAATCACCACCTTAAAAAAAAAAACAAAAAAAAAAAACAAAAAAAAAAAAAAAAAAAAAAAAAAAAAAAAAAAAAAAAAAAAAAAAAAAAAAAATCCCAAACACCTCCTTAGTCGCCACACCTGCCTTGGAGCGAGTCTGAGCACCATTCCTCTCACCCTCGTCAATTTCCGGTGAAACTAAAGAAAGAAGGTGCGTAAACCCTAATTTGATGATAATTTGTCTTGCACTTAGATTTACTTGTTTTTTCTCGTATATTATTTTTGATCTGATCTTTTTGCAAATGTAATTGCCGATTGGAATCTGGAAGGTAACGACGTTGATTTTGCTGTTTCATAGGGCTTGAGATTCAGATCAATATTGGATGGCGAGTTCCGTAGACACTGCAGGAGAACCTATTCCGACATCGGCGGTGCTAATGTCGGCGTCGAAGCACATAGCGAGTAGATGCAGAGGTGAAAATGTTGCCTTCCTCAAGTGCAAGAAGGAGGACCCCAACCCCGAGAAATGCCTTGATAAGGGCAGACAAGTGACTCGATGTGTCTTGTCCTTGTAAGTACTAATCTTTTCATCTTTCTATTTGACTGGCGAAAAGGTGAGACTTTGGTATGAATTTGATGCCTTCAGCCTACACTTTGGTCTCATCTATATGCGCAAAACCAAAAATGACATGCCCTGTAGTTGCTCTATTTTTTAATGATATAGTATAAGTTGTTTAAAAGTTTGGCTCCGGAATTGTTGTACCAAATTTCTTGTATTTTGAAGTAAGAATAGTGTATTTGCTTTTGGGAGGGTAATCGTAATTGCAGTTGGCACGTGTCTGACATTAACCTCGGCTGTTCTTTGGTGTAATTTGATTATAGTTTTTGAATTATGGATACTTGCTTCTTGCATTGTACTGTAATTTGATTACTCTTACTTCTCTAGTCAAACACTACATGCTATTGAAGTTCCTTAGCTTTCCATTCTTTATCCAATAGTCCTTTGTATAATCTCTAGCTTTGGATGCTTATTATTCTGTCCGGCTTTGGGCAATAAGTGATGTGCGGTGCATCCATATGCATATGCAGTACATGCTTAAAGGAAACACTGATACTGCAACTCTTAGCTTATCATATGCCTCCTGCTTTATACACAATACAGTGTCCGGGTGGGTCTTCCATGTGATAAGACCAATTTTTCTAAAAGCTTGGTTAATTTGCTTTATGAATCATGAATCATGAGTCACGATTGGTCGATTATAGCCAAAGCATTGTGGAGCCATTTCCTAGGTCATGTGATAAAATGCCATTGAAGTAGTGCTTGTATGTACCCACTTTTTCAGTCATTGCAATACATCTTTTTCTTTAAGCCTAATTATATATTGGAGCTGATGTTCTTTGGGGAGTTTAACCATAATGGCACTAGTCCAACATGCACGATTGTTTTTCATCAGGTTTATCCATCAATTTCCTTCTATTCTTAATCCCATGGCGTATAGCCCTCTAATACCATATAAGGTGTAAGCATGGAAATAATGCATTATTTAATAGCCCTTATTTGAGATCTGCGACTGAGCTGGTTTATATGATTCTATACGAACTGAGGATCCTGACTTCAGGGATTTGAGGGGAAACTGTATATTTTTACAGTCCTTATTTTCTTTTCTTGGTCCATCTTTTCACAAGCTTTGCAGTTCTCCTAGCACATGAAATTTTGGTGATCTTTTGAACCGGTGACAAGGAATACTCACAACGATCGATGTGGTTTCTATGAAAAAATAGTCATTTTTATGAAGGTAAACACTCCACATTGGTTATGGAACTATGCAAATTGTTTGCAAACCCAAAACGAATGCAATTTCTTTGAGTTCCAGATCCAGACATTAATGTAATGCTGTGGTATTCACCAGTTAAGCTCCTGAGTCCTGAGCTTTTTGGTGTTGTTTCGATGGAATAGCTGCCAATAGAACTGTAGCTAGGCCTTTAGACGAGTACTTGCACAAGTTACTGTGGGAGTTATGGAGTTTATATCATATTTATTTCGCCCCCTCAAAATTTCAATTTTTTTTGATGTATCAACTCCTTAGATGAACATCTTGTCATTGCCTGGAAGTCCAGTAGCAGGCATTCCATAAGCACGGGAAGCAGCTAGCTGATAATGTTCTATAGGAGTTATTGTCCCATGGACACTAACTTGGAGATCTTCATGTATGTTTTCCCCATCAGCTTTAGGAATGCATCTTGATATAGGAAAAGGATCACAGTTTCATGTGCTAGCTCACGCTTCCAAATGTATGTTTGTAATCGTCTAGCACTGTCGGTGATTCATCAAGATAGAATACTTCCATGGGAATTTCATCTAACAACCAGCACATAGTGCATTCAGCTGTAATGTTATATCTTGAGATTCGATACCGAGTTGGAATCACTATAGCTTCTTCACATTCTTGGTAGTAGCATCATAACATTTGTCACATTCTTGGTAGTATTTTCACTGAATACATAGTCCATGGTGTGAAGTTCCTTTTCATATATTAGCTTATCATATATTCATCATCATATATAGTTTTCGTGCTTATTTCACCCATAAGTCATCATTGAATCCTAAATCATAAAAACAAGGAGGTCCATAATCTTCATTTAAATTCTCTTCACTTTTGTCTCTGTTTGAGGTTGATTAATCTTTAGAATTCCTTCTCCATTTTAGTTGACTTATTTGGTGTCATTGACTGCCATATGATGTGGTTTTTGGATATGTAATCATCAATTATGTGGAACTGTTACAAATAGTATGAGTTTGTAACAAGATCTTATTGCATGCTTTCCCCACCAATTTGGTTGTGATAGTTGCAAAGGATGATTTTGAAGGTTCAAAAAATATTTTGTTAGGCAACCGTGGTTATTTGTCAACTTGAAGATCCTGATGAGAATGACTTATGTGTGGCTGTCTTCCCTTCTATGTTGTTAGCAATTTAAATACACCAAATGTTGTGAATTCATCTGAAATGCTAGTCAAGTATGTTGTCTATATGTTGCAAAGTTGTGGATTGACAATTGGTGCTTAGCGATCTCCTCATATGGTGAACATAAGCAAAAGTTTATTTGGTGGTGTTACCATTAAAACCTTCTAACTACGTTTAGGATACACTGGATATGGGTTTCTGATGTGATGCATGTGGAGCCTGCCATCGCTTCACTCGTTTGTGCCGTTGAGACTCCTAAGTCAAAGCTAAAAGTAGCCTCTAATGATTCAATCCCTTCCTCCTTCTATGGTTTCTTTGTTATCTTGCTAACTCGGTAGGGTCAATTTCTTTTAGCTCGGGAGACATGATACTAATTGTCATCAATATAATATATAACTTCAGTGTTGGATAATATCATTGTTAGTATGATTATTATTATCTTTATTACAAGTAGGTAACTCCATGAGGTATATGACATTGATTACCATGGTTCTAAAAATCCGTTGAGGCATACATCTCCGAGGCAAAGACCAAAAGCACTCGAAGCGGTGTTTTTCAAGCCATGGAAGATGCGTAAGCCCTGGTGGCCCTGTAGGCGGGTGAGGCGGGGTTTGGCATACACGTCTGTTGTTGTGTGTCTAAATCAGTTTTCATAATGAACAAAGTACAAAATCCCCCAAGAACTTGTACTTTTTTATTTGAAGTAAAAAGAAAGGGTTTTCTATCAAAGAAACGACTAAAAGTTGTACTTCTTCATTTGAAGTAAAAAAGATCAGTTGTTCTTCTAATCTTTTCTCCAGTAAAAAAAAAACGCAGTGTCCTCCCTCCTCACAAATGCTAGTTGTGCTCCGGTGATGCACCTCCTTCTTAGCGACCATCTCCTCCTTCTCTTCTGCCGACCATGTCCTCCCTTTTTCACGGTGATCACATCCTCCCTACTCAATCTTCTCACACATCTCCCCTCCTGCTGCATTTGAACCTGTGCCTAGTTCTATAGAAATTGTAAGTTGTATTTTGTATATAAAAATTTTGTGTAGTATATGTATTGTTTTCATGTGTTGTAAGTGCATCCATTGCCCGGTCACTCCACTGCCCACCATTTTATCTTTATGTAGTGTTCAAATATATATTTTGTGTATATATATGTATGTAGTGTTCATCTATATGTGCTGTGTGCTTAGTGTGTGTATATACACACACACAAATATATATATATATATATATATTCTGTATATTGTGTGTTTTATGCTTCGTATGTGTGTATATATATATATTGTGTATTCTGTCTGGTATGTCCAACGTTTATATTCTGGGTATACATACAAAAGTACAACTTACAAGTTCAATAGGAGTAGGTACAACTTCAAACACAGCAGGAGGGGAGCTGTGTGAGAAGCTTGAGTAGGGAGGATGTAGGTTATCGGAGAGCAACTAGCATTTGTGAGAGGAAGGACGTTGTTTTTTTAACCGGAGAAGATCAGAAGAGCAACGAGGCTTTTTGACTTGCAATTTTTGAGTACGACATTTTGTCCTTTCAACAAAAAAACCCATCTTTTGACTTCAAAGAAAAAACAACATTTAGGAATTTTAGTCCCTTTCATGATAAGAAAACGATCGGGAGACACAACGACGGCTCCAGCCAACGAGGCGTATGCATCTTCTATGGTTTGAGAGGCGCTGTCTTAAGAGTGGTGTTTGGCCGCCTCGCCTTGAGGCCATACGCTCCAACCAATTTTAAAGCCATGTTTGTTACAAGAATTGAGAAAATAAATTGTTTGTTACACTAAATTGGAGCTAAACCAAACTTTGTTGCATTTTGATGCATTATTCTCTATTTAATATGCATGTGGCTTCGCTGTGTTTGCTTTGCCTAAACTCAGTGGTGCTCATATTGCCTTGAATAAATATGACATTTACCAAACAAGTCCATGCTTAAGAGAAGACTTTACTGAGGGTAAATCACTAGGTGAAGGTCGAGATGAGAACGTCATGAATCAGGGGGGAAGAATGTCATAGCTTGCACTCTTCAAGTACGAGTTCATGCAATTTCCATATAGATGCCTAGTTGGCGCTTACTTTCCAAGAAAGCTTAAAAAAAGAAAAGGTGGAACATAAGGATTTATAATGCTTCAGGTATAATCTAGTGTTCTCCATTGTAGGACATTTTTTGTATCTTATTTAACCTTATTGATGCTTGTAGCATCTGTGTTGAGAGCCAACATGTGGAGTGGAGAAGCAAATAAAGACTAAACATTAGAAAGCGTGGTATCTTGTCTTCTTTCTTCAGTCATTATTATCTAGCTTTTTTTTAAAGTTTGATATTATCGAACTATGGTGATGCTAAGACCACATGGAGATTGGGATAAAAGCAAATTGGGGATACTATGCTTATATCCAATTGATGATAAAACAAACCAACCCGCTGTTAACCGAAAGGAAGGGTGGTAAGTTGATCATTTACCTATCGGGACGAAAGGTTTCCAAGCAAAGAAACACCAGCATATAATTTTGTGGGCATGATCCTTCTTGGAAGACAGATTTTCTGCAAAGTGCCGAAACTGAAAAGTATTTGAATATGGCAAACTAAGGATATATGTTCGAATCATAAGGTAACAATCTAAGGAGTTAGACAGTTGGAGAAATTCTGCTTAGACTGATGATAAACCCTATGATAGATATTATTAACGATTCATCTTCAGGTTTATAACTGTGAATGTTGAATGATCTGTTGTGCCCCTAGGTATTGGTTTCTAGTAGTTCCATATGAACAGTTCTTGTACTGAATATAATGAACCAAAGGAAAAAAATCTAGTAAAAAATATACTGTGTTAAATAAAGTAAAAGACAAATTAAAAAAGAAAAACGTCAAACTGGCACTCATGCCACTAATCCATCAAATTAGTTAGCATACTTGTTATTACAAAGGGAACAAAAAGGACTAGCAATCAAAATCCAAATATCATAAAAACATAGGCATGAAGAAAAACTATTCAAACCACAAGGGTGGTGCCTGATTGGTTTGAGCTTGGCTCCAAAGGTCAAAAGTACCTGGAGGTCCCAGGTTCAAATCCAAGGAGGAATAAAAATCCCCTTGTGGCCATGGAGGTTCAAATGCGGTGACTCTGGGTTATCTGCAAAGCAGGTGGTCGCCCTGGGATTAGTCGGCTCGCATAGTGGGTTGGATATCCAGGTTAATAAAAAAAAAGAAAAACTATTCATCATCATGCTCACAAATTATCTCGTCAATCACCATCATCATTAGGAACAATATGGATTTTAATTTGGATTGTCATTGTATCACCTTACACGTAGATGGCATCTAAATCAAATATCGGTGCTTCCTAGAGCTCTCCATTTTTCTGCAAATAAGAGTTGAACTGCAATTTCGAGAAGATAAACAAAGGGAAGAGAAAGCATATGAGAAGAGATTAGTAGAAGATAGGAAAACAGGGGCATCGAGTTAGCAAAGATGACACATCCAAATTCTGTAGCTAATTGTTGAAATGTTGAGATTGAATGCCAACATTTAGTGTGTGTTTTATATTATTATGTTAGGTCTATAAAAGATTCAAATATCTTTCAAAGAAGATAAAAATAGAAGGCCGAAAGAGACCCTTAACAAAAATAATAAGACGAGTGCTTTAATCACAATTCCACGCATATTGTCCCATGGCAATGCCATAGTGCATACTGCATAGAGCGCTCGTTTTTCTCCCCTTGTGTTATCACATATGGTGATATGTTACACCAAAAATAGCTACGTCATGCTCCATAGCACACGCTTTGAAGGTAGTGCTAGTAAGATCCTTTTTCTATTATTTTTTCTTTTTCCTGGGGCGGGAAGAGATAATTATGCTGGAGAGCTGAAGCTCCCTGATGAATTGGAATAGGCAACCCTGTTTCATATATGCTTCGACAACAATGTTCCCTGATGGGAAGGACCAGAGCTAGATAGGCGGGTGAAAGAATTGTGGAAGGTTTTAGCGTTTTAATTTGACATGGCTAGTTTAGTAATTTACCATCTTGTCTTCTTTCTCTGGACAAAAATGTACGTCCTGTCCCAGTCTGATGTTGCACCAAATAATAACTTGGGACAACAAGCTTTTTTTCTGTTCTCTCCCGCGTACCAAAGGCACCCTGATGAAACATATTTTGCAGCATTGGCGACTACTACATGCAGAAGTTGTTCTCCTTGATATTTCCCAAATCTTTTTTGATGTTGAGAAGAATTTTCTAAGATAGTTTCATCACATAGTCAGACTGAGCTTTAACAAACAATTGAATTACATCTCATAGAGATCAAACAGGCTAGGAAAGAAGGGATGCAGGAGTAGATGTGTGAATTGAAGAACAGTAACTCACACTTCATGTATGCTGTGAGGGTGCATGAATTGCTGCACTCATCCCTGTTATCATCTTCCTTTCCACACTTTTCTACCCTCTTTCTTGCTTTATTACTAATAGGGTGCGAGCGACCTACATTTTCACTATAAGGTACAAAAGGATAATTTTTTAAATGGTGGCACTATATGTGAGAGCTGGTTAATTGGGAGAATAACTTTGTAACAGATTTTTTTAAATGCATGATCTTCTGATAAAATTTGAGGCATTCCTATGTTAGGAAGAGGCATTCTTTGGGTAGACATAAACGTTCTTAAATATGCCAAAAAGTAATGCATTTAACAAAAAATATTTCAGAAGGTTATTCTTCTAATCTAAACAACCTGAGCTGGGTTATCGGTGAGAGGTGCAACTAGTTTAGTTAAATAATTTGTAGATCTGTTTCTGAACTTGCAGTTTTTTACATAAGTTGAAAGTAATTAGCAGAGAATTCTAAATAAACTTGGTTCCCTTGCAGGCTGAAAGATCTTCATCAGAAGTGCACAAAAGAGATGGATGCTTATGCCGGCTGCATGTACTACAATACCGATGAATTTGAATTATGCCGCAAACAACAGAAGGAGTTCGAGAAAGCTTGCCCTTTAAATTGAGCGGGAACAAGATTCTTATATTTCTCATCGCCCGTAATAATTTGGCTGGTTTGCCGAGTGCAACCTAGTCCGTCTTTTTAGGCCAACTCATGTGATGTTATTTTGCAAGCAATGTTTGTCATATAAGATCTGCAGTTTCACAAATTGACTTGATTTTCCTCATTCTATTGTAACCATTGCACTTGAATTTGGCCCTCAAAAAAGCCAATGGAGCAAATATCTTGGAAGTTTTTCAATTATAGTCTTACAAGATGAATATTTTGAAAACTATATGATATTCTAGCGGTGCGTTTGGTACGAGAACATGACCCGACGAATGAGGGACAATTTGTCTTGTATGCCAAACGCACCTATAGAGTCAAATCACGTAACTAGTTACGGTATTTCTGGTCCAGTCACTGGCTTAAAATGTGTAATTTATATGATAATTTATAGAATTAAGCAATATAAACAATTAGAGGATTGGAAAAAGAAATGAGGCATATGGTGATTAAACAATATATATAGATACAAGCCACTCTTACCTAATATTCTTTGGTTAGTATCGAGTAAGGTATTTGTCGGTCTTTTGTAACTTCCAAATCCAATTTCATATATATACAACGCTACACAATTAAATAATCTTTTAACATTTTTCTTTATTAACCTGGATATCCAATCCGCTATGCGAGCCGACTAATCCCAGGGCGGCCACCTGCTTTGCGGGTAGTTCGGAATCACTGCATTTGAACCTCCGTGGCCACAAGAGGATTTTATTTCTCATTGGATTTAAACTTGAGACCTCCAGGCATTTTTGATCTTTGGAGCTCAAACTTAAACCAATCAGGCACCACCCTTGTGGTTTAATTTAACATTTTTTTAGAATCAATACCAAGAATACAAAAAGTATTTCAATATTTTTATGTTCGCTTTTTGTGAAACTTTTAGATATTAAATCAATAACTTTTTGTTGTGTATCTCATAAAGCTAAACCATTACGGTTCAAATTCAGAAATACTTTTGTGATGACTAGGATTTTTCCCGATAAAGAAATGCTTATTAGTTTATTATTTATAGATTGCTTTTGGATGTAATGAAATTTATTAAAAAAATTGGATCTTGAATTCTTGATGGGGGTGTTTGGTTCATTATTTAGGGGTTATTTGGTTGGTTTTTCATTAAATCTAGTATGAATAAAGTTGTCTATTATAGATCATAAATATTTTTGTTGGGGGAGGGGTTTGGTTTATAGATGGAGGAGCTTGTTTTTTAATTGAGAGTGACGTGTTTAAAAAAAAACTTGATTTTCTGTATGAAATTTTCCTTAGAAACTTATTAAATAAGCTATTTTATATATTATTAAACCATCATCAAACAGTCATATATATATATTATATATATATATATATATATATATATATGAATGAATAAATCGTGACCACTAACAAACAGAAGTGTAATTATGTAGGCTTCTTTGGCTTGGAATATAAAATTGAATTAGTAAATTCGTTTAGGTAACGAAAATGACTGTTTTATTGGTTTTATAATGAAACTTTAATTGTAAAGAAAACCCTTTTTATGGAGGGAATCAATTATTGTTATTATTATCATCATTTAATTAATAAATAATTTTATTTATTGGTATTTATAACCCAAACACAAATGTCAACAAAGGATCGTTGTGTTTATTATAACTTAAACTAATATTCTTTGTTATTAAATTATCTGATAACCAATTAAAAAAAATTCGTCTTAAAATTATTCAAATAGAAACCGATTATGATGTCTGAGTTAACACAAACGACTGTGTTTCAATTGTTTAAAAATAGAAAGAGAAATAGTTTGTTACAGACATACGTTATTATCAAGAACATAAAAGTACCTTGTCGATTTGAAGTAAGAGCCAAAAGTTTTATAGGTTTGTAGCTACATTGTTTATAAAAACTATGTAATTATTTTGTAAGTTCTGTAAATTATTTGTTGTTAAGCAGATATTTTAGTTTTAAATCAGAAAGCATATAGTTAACCGATTCTTTATAAGGTATCATATTTGATAGCTAAGAATCATAAGTGTTCACATGGTGGATACAAAATCCCCACAAAGGCGGTGCAAGTGCACATCAATGGCATGATCACTTCAAGTAATAAAGTGGTATAGTACCAAGATCATTTCCACATGGATTGCACTATTGAAAATCAGAGAGTTCCATTCTTGAGCATGTTTCGGTTGTGAATAAAAATCAAGTTTTCGTTGATAGAAACACTTAAAAGACGAAATAAACCCTTTTAAATTAAGATATGGGTATGAGTGTAAATTTTTCTTAAGACGATTGTAGGAACAGGAAGGTCAGAAACTCATGGGGCTTCTATAAAAACTTCAATCTCTCGAAAGTGAATTTTTATATACTGTACGCACGGAGTGGGAACTTTTATTCACAAAGTTCCCACTCTCATAGATTTTAAGCTTGCAGAATTAGTCAAGTAATAAAAAGAGATCTAGTTCCACTAGTCTGAATATTTATATTCAAATCTCTTTTTAGTGTAAATCTTGACTAATATTTGAACCTTAGCTAAAAGCATACACCATTCGTATCTCTACGTGATTATCAAAGACTCTCTCAAATCTTTGTGCATCACTTAAGCCGTATTTTGAATCTATCCATCTCTGGATCAATGGTTTAATATCAACACTTTAAAGTGATTGACTTATCCGCGTTAAGTTTAAGTCCCAACTTTAAGTGACCAAACTTAAGAATTAGTAACATTGACAAGACTCAAGTGTGCCTACTAGTCTTAAGTTTGACTCACATCCACACCCACACCCAAAATGGGTGATTAGCTCATAATAAAACTAAATAATATAGAAGAAGTAGAGAAATGCAGACAAAAGGCGAAAATAGTTCTTGATTTAACGGAGCTAACGAAGGCATAAATCAGAGGGACCATGACCAAATCAAATTAAATACCACAAAGACTAATCCACAATAAACATACTATAGGGACCCTGTAAAAAATTATCAAAACACGGGGACCAAATCCACAATTCAATCTAAATATGATGATGAAGTATTTTATGTAGGACTGGATGATTATCTTGTATTTAAATATGTTTTAATTAATTTTAAAAAGTTTAAAGAATTGTAAAATTTTGTTTGTATATAGCAATACAATATCTTATACGACGAAGGGTCGTGTGAGAATAAGAATCAAGGTTAAAAGCGTAAGAATATATCTAAACTCTTGATCATTTTTAATCTCACTCTCATCCTATGAAGTGCGCTTATCGTGAGAATTGATCTGATGCATTATCGGTGCACCACATTAGTGTTGATCTTCAATTATGATTGAAAAAGAGTCGATATCCCATCTAACCCTTCTCCCCGTAATTATGATTGATCCAAAGAGGAATAAAAATCCTCTTGTGGCCACGGAGGTTCAAATGCGGTGACTTCAGGCTATCTGCAAAGCAGGTGGTCATCCTGGAATTAGTCGACTCGCATAGCGGGTTGGATATCCTGGTTAATAAAAAAAAAACTCCCATTCTCACTGAACTCAATCCTACTATATAAAATATAGATTACAATTAAAAAAACTATTTACATATATGATTATCAGCCATCACTTCAAATACATTGGCGAGATTGATTTATTAAGTTTTTCTTTTTAACTAGTGTGGGAATCGTGCATTGTGCCTCTATATATATATATATAAATAAAGAGAGAGAGAGAAATATATTTGTTTAGGAATAAAGTTGTAAAATTTAATAAGTAATAATAACAACGGGGGTGTGGATAATTTATGCATTGTTGTCTTATTGATGATGAAGGTTTTTTTTTTAAAAGAGAATGATACATCTGCCGATTTTTATTAAGAAATAAATAAGTGTACGTCTAAATCAACGGTAACTAATTATATGTACAAAAAATGTGGTAAATAGAAACTTAGTGTATAAATAATATGAACTGATATTAACCGATCATTAATACATATAAATTACTATAGAAAATTATTTATGGTTATAAGACGAATGATGTCCACAAATAACAAAAACAAATATTCCCGCTGTCCTAAAATAAGTGTATATGTTTCTATTTTAGTTTGTCCCAAAATAAGTGTTTACTTTCAAAAAATAATGTCTACTTTCTAGCTCTACTCTTAACTATGAGATAAATAATTCGTTAATCGCTCAATTATTAAAAATAGAATTGTCATTTAGTTAATTAAGAAGTGTAATGATTAGTTGATTACACATTTATAAAATTGTGGATATGTATTTTGAGACTTAAACATGTATTAATACAAATTTCAGAGTACAAATCAATAAATACATGTTTTTAAATACTAATATGTTATTTACTATTATTAA